TAATGATAGGAGTAAAGTATAACTAGCTAAAGTTATTAATTTGAAGATTTCAGGAGGCAATTGACGGCGCTTTTTAAAATGGCCGTCAAAATTAAAGAACAATTTAACAGCAGCTTTAATACCCTAAATAAATTTTTTTAATTTACAAAACATGAATGTAACTGCTGTTGACTTTTTAAACCCAAAATAACATATTTTAGGGTGGAAAGCTAACACACTTTTGGAAATACATAAGTAAAATTTTCCCCCTTATATTAGCCCTTTTCTGTTTTGAAGAATGGAAAATATCACCATAAAAAATTTCAGTTTCTTTACGAATATACGGTTGTTTTTCATTATTTTTGTGTACTACACAAGGTATTCCAGAGGACCACACACACAACTACCATAATGTTCATGTATAAAGAAGGCATTAATTCATTTAATACATAATTGTCCTTTACTGTGTAACCCTATGTTGAGCAATAAACTTTAGGTATTGCTAATATCACTGCAATCTGAAAGTCTTTGTCTTTATTATAAACAGTTCTTGGACATCCCTTTTTATTGACCCAATCATTTACTTAAATTCCATTCTAATAGCGATTAAATTTGCTCAAGTGCTCAAGGGTCTACAAACATGGTGGTAGCAATGATATGTCATGATCTAAAACTCTGAAGTTGCAGAAAGTGTCAACAAAACTGAAATTATTAAATCCCAGTTTGCAGAAACTTAGTTTGCCGAAACCCAGAATGCCCAATCCAGTTCACTGAAATCATGAAATCCCAGTTCGCCAAAACTCAGTTTTCTGAAACTCGTCCAAATCTCTGTGTGACAAAAGTACAGCATACTGTGCATTTGAAAGGAAGGAGCTTCATTTGTCTACAAATTTAAAGGGAAAATATTGGAAGACAACAAAGCTGTAGAAAAACACACTTGAAATCATGGCTATCAGTTAAAATTAGAAATAAAATAAAGGATAAGCATCGTATCCTTCTAAAATACTGTACTCCCCCTGCAAACCCTATCATAAATTTTGTGCCAGGTCCCAGACTACAGAGGCTTTAGTCAGCCCATTGAGTCAGACCCTCTGTCAAAAAATTTCTGTAGCCACAATTGGCATGTGTATATAATTGTAGATTATTATTAATTTGTTTATTTCCTTTATTATTTTTTTTCTTTAATAAATTTATGTACTTATCATAAGCATGCTAATATTAGACATTTTAACTGTGAGGCCTATTAAATTGACTTTTATTTGCTGATAGCCAAATGATTTACGGATTAAAACAAAAAGAATCATGTAACTACAATAAGCCGCTATTTCTTATAGGAATACATAGGGAGTTCTAACAAGAATGTTATGCTGTGGTTCATGTTTTACTGCTTTTATTTTATTTTCGACATACTGGGATTCGTAATTTTTGATTCAACAAACTGGCATTCGGCAAACTGTGTTTTGGCAAAGTGAACTCGAAAATCTGGCAGTCAGCAACCTGGGGTTCTACAATATGGCCTAGAACCGCCAAGAAGAAGCCGACACAAAAGTTTCCTTTCTTGAGATGTCGATATTACAGAGGATTAGAACCCGGCTTTCTTTCGTAAAGGTAAACGTAGCTTCTGTAATCATAAACTGAGTTTGTTGAAACTTTCAGCAACTTTGGAGTTTTAGATGTTCTGTCACAAAAGTTGTTTGAAGAACAAGAGTATGTCTCATTGCTGGTTGGAGTTAAGGCGAAAAGTGTAAATCAAGCAAGCGACATGTTCAATAGAAAGTTTTCCAGAGACAAGATCACTGACATATCATTGCTGCCACCATGTTAGCAGAATCTCGAGCTTCAGATACAATAGCAAACTTAATCATTAAAGAATGAAAATAAGCAGAGATAAATGACTGTCAATAAAATAGTTGATGGAACAGATGGGATGGTAGTTGTCTTAAATACCTTGTATAGCACACAGAAATAATGAAAAACAATCGTATATTTGTATTAAAGGAAGCTTGAATTTTTTTGGATTCTGGTGATATTTTCTGTTATTCTTAACAGAAAAGGGCTAATATAAGGGAGAATTTTTAATTACATTTTCAGAATTGAGGTATAGCTCACCATCCTAAAATATGTTAATTTGTGTTTAAGGTCAACAGCAGTTATTACACTCATGTTTTGTAAATTTTACAAGGGTATTGATGCTGCTGTTAAGTTGTTGTTTAATTTCGGCGGAAATTTAAAAAGTGCCCTCTATTGCCTCCCGAAATTTTCACATTAATAACTTTAGCTAGTTATACTTCACTCCTATCATTACATATTCAAAAGGTGGTCAAACCTACCTCTTATGTGCTTATTTTAACCATAATGTAGTTTATTGTATTTTTTGTTTTGTTTTTTTCAATATGATTTGTGGTCTGAATACTGTCAGGGTCATGAGACTATTTTATTTTTGATATTTGACTCTACAAATATTCTATCATTACCTATTAGTATTATTATAACTTAGATGTCATCATTTCTTCTTGTCTACATGTGTTTGTTCATTCGTCCATCATCATCATTCATCATCATCATCATCATCAGCACATCACATCACATAAATCATTCATTCATTTTTATCATTCATTCATTCATTCTATCATTCTGTCATTTATTCAATCTATTATTCTACGCTACAGAACTAGTCAGAAATTTCTTGCTTCATAATCAAAAACTAATGTTCGGAGAAAACATTTAAATACCAAAGATAGCGTATATACACAAAATCAATTATTAGAATTAGTATTATCAATAAAGGTTTTAAACATTTTTTTAATATTTATAAATTTCTATGTTTTCAATCAATCAATAAGGATTTGTATAGCACCAATATCCATGGCAGAATGCAATATTCACTGGTCCTGTGACAATTGGTAAATACTTAGTTAATAAAATAACCTAGCTGTACAGAAAAAGAAAGATGCATCTTGTTTGATTACTGAGCATTAACAATTTCACAATGGCTAGGATGGCATTTATATCTTTCGGTCTTGCATTTAGGTACAGGCTTCAAGAGATTCTTTTATATTTTGCATCGTAAGATTGTCCATTTGTCCCATTTTCCCCGTTAATCTATACAATAGTACATTTATTTATTTTACATATTTCTTGTCAATAAAACATAAATCAGAATAATAATATCAACAAAATATTTTAAAAATAGTGAATAGAGGAAAATTTTTCAAATAACGATAAAAAGAAATGTGAACTCAAATTGATAAATAGGATGAAATATTTGTTTGAAAATTGCTAATTTTATAACAAATATACAACCTATTATATAAATAATAAATCCGGTTTAATTTTTGTATTTTCAGGTTCATTCTTGATTTTGTATTGATGATCTTACCCATGATTCTCAGCTGTACCATTGCTAGTGAGCATGTGCAGCATATCTTGATGGTGTTAGTAGTCGCAGCTGTTATGCTGTACATAATAAAACGTGGTAAGAAATTCAATAACCGTAAGTGTGAATAATTAGAATTAGAGAGGGAATTTGAAGATCTATAAAATCATTTAATGTAATAAATAAAAGATGACCTAATAATGCACTTTGGTAGGATGCCACATGTAATGGAGAAAAATTGAAGGTATAATTGTCATACTTAGTGAAGTGGTAAACTGTTAGTCACATAACTGTTAAAAAGATGTTATGCATTCGAACACTCTAATATCCACTTGTGAAAAATGTTTACACATATCCTGACCTGCTAGGGGAAAATTAGCATTCACCCTGTGCTACACTGCATTTGCCTGAATACGCATTTATGTAAGTTTAACCTGTAACACTCCATAGATATTTAGCATGGACCTATGAACATGGTAACTGCATTTATATCACTATTAAATTAGGCCTACCATCCCAAAACCAACATCAGTGACCAAAAAATAATAATGAACTTTTGCATGTATTTCATTTTTATTCATTTTTATTCATATAAAAAAAACATCAATATAAAAAAAAATCAATAAAAGCAGTCACAAGTCGTGGCTCGAAAGCCAAATTGGATGTGAGCCTTAACAATTTCGTAAATAATTAAGATAATATATACAAAATTTAATTATAAAATAAATACAAGAATTGATACAATAAATACCGCAATTGATAATGAATATAATAATTGAGGCGTTATATACAGTAATTAATCATTAATATAAGAATTGGGACAAAGAGAAAATGAGAGAGCAGCTTACTGTAGCTTAGTTGGCTAATCTGGTGGTAGCCACTATGTGTGCGCTGAACTGTGAAGATCTCTAGGTCCCCGGTTCAATTCCCATCGCTGCCTCTCCTTGTGTTTCAGCTAGGCCCATGTGCACGTTAAAGAACGCAGTACACTCTTTGGAAAATAGTAGGGGATTGTCTCCCCGTGTACTGCCCAATCACCACCAGAAGGACCCCACTGGAAATAAGTCTTCTAGACTTTCGTGGGCTATTGTGGGTGTTTACACCGAATAAATCTAATCCAATCTAATCCAAAAAATTACACACTTTAATAAGAAAAACCATTAAAAAGTGAACACAGTCAAATAAGAAAAGAAAACATAGAAACACAATGCACAATTCAATGATGAGATAAACCAATATACACAAAAAAAATGTTCATACACACAAATATAAGAAAAGACGACCTCCTGAACAGCAGCTACAAAAAGTTCTTTAGTAAGTTAGCTCACATATATGTATGTTTTTAATATACAGTGTACACTCTAATTCAAGACCACTTTTCCAAGAACCCAAATAACAATCTTCAACTTTTTAACACAAGCTAGCCCTCAAATTGAGACCAACCCCAAGACCACCCCAAATGTTCAGGTCCCAAAGGTGGTCTCTAATTGAAGGGCGAACTGTATTCTTATTCTTTACATTAGGAGTTTTAAATTGATGGGTGATTTACTGGAATCGTAGAGACCACCTTTGGGACCTGAACATTTGGGGTGGTCTTGGGGTTGGTCTCCAATTAGAGGGCTAGCTTGTGTTAAAAAGTTGAAGATTGTTATTTGGGTTCTTGGAAAAGTGGTCTTGAATTAGAGTGTACACTGTATATTAAAAACATACATATATGTGAGCTAACTTACTAAAGAACCCAAATAACAATCTTCAACTTTTTAACACAAGCTAGCCCTCTAATTGGAGACCAACCCCAAGACCACCCCAAATGTTCAGGTCCCAAAGGTGGTCTCTAATTGAAGGGCGAACTGTATTCTTATTCTTTACATTTGGAGTTTTAAATTGATGGGTGATTTACTGGAATCGACTATACTAAGCCTAAGTTATGAGTAAAAGTATGGCTTTTCTGCACCAAAGTACACAATACTGCCACATTCTTTTTATGTTAAAAAATACTCAGTGTAACATATAGTGAGATGACATGCCTCAACAACAGACCAACCGCCTTCTGATTTATCCGCCATTATAATCAGCTTATTTCTTAGCTGCAGAGGCTTTTCAACATTTTCCACTTGCTAAGGTCCTTCTTCACTAGGCTATCACTCGCTTGATCGACTAGATCTAACACATCTGATCTATACTCTAACTGGGCCTGATTACCAACAAACCTGAACTTCACGTTGGTGGTCATCTTTATTTTCTCCATTTCGGTTTTGTGTACCCTAATTGCATCGTCAATATACTCCGCCGATTGCATTCCCTTACAATTCCTGCGTTGACCTCCTGAGTCATCCCGTTTGTTCGGGATCCATAATTTGCCTTACAATGTCGAAATTTACCCTTAAAAACAAGGAAAATAACCCACCAGAAATTTAAGCAAACTAGCCACAGCAGTGGAATTGATCAAGTGGCTCTACCCTTGAACTCCTCACTCCGCTCACTCACTAACTCTCAGAACAATGGAAAATATATTTGTGCAACTTTTAACAAGGTTTAACTTCACTTACAAGTGTGAATCGACAGTGATTTACAGAGGAATAGCTCAAAATATTTTGTCTTACTTTGATTATGTATTAAAAATTGATTTTATTAGCCTGCCAAAGGAGCGACACTCTGGAGAGGCTATTTTTTTAACCTTTAACCTGTGTTGTTTTTAATGTTGTTTTCATTGTCATCACTGTTGCTGTTAGCCATTTGGTAAGTTTGATTGGTTTCCTAATTTTCAATTATCATAGTAAAATCACATCGTGGGGAGGTTATGCTTTTACTGTGCAGCGTAAAAGGAGCATTTCTTGTTTGAATACATGTTTTTTAACTAATCTAATTACAAATATTTATACTAATAGACAGCCATTTTTTTCTCTCTTCACTCATCCAGATCGTTTAGAATCATCGGTGCATTCCTATCTAGAATCCTTTCAGCATCAAAAGTTGCCATTTGTGTCTTCACTGCGTCTGTGCGTCCTCTTCTCAACAACTATTTCCATATTAGCCGTTGATTTTCACATATTTCCTAGGCGGTTAGCTAAGACAGAGACTTTCGGTGTTAGTCTAATGGACGGTGGTGTCGGAATGTTTGTATTCATTAATGGCTTAGTGTCATCAGAAGCTAGGTCTAAAGCTCCAATTAGTGGGTGAGTAATGTCATACTGAATTGTTTAAAAATAAATAAAAATTGCTAATTTAATGGGAAAATTAGCATTTTTTTTATGAAATATGGATTCCACATATGAAGAGTTTAATTTTAACAACAGGTCTACAATTGTCAACACAAGCCTTTAAAATGCAGTTCATCTATATTTTAATTCTACCATTCGCCTCCGCGTAACTTCACCTATCGCCTCTAAAACTGCTGGAAGGAATGTGCTTTTATACACTGGAGTTTCTATATGATACAACCACATTCCGCTACTTTTCAAGGCTGGATATTGGATAACAACGAAAAACAGCCAGAAACCACTGAAAATCAGTGCCTGTTTTGACATGTTTCGAGAGTTGCTTGCGTCACGTAAATACAATTAATCCCATCTCTTATGTACTGGAGTGCTTGGGTTTAAAAATGTTCTCAGCAGGCCGTAAAAGAACCAGTATTTGTTTTGCAGGGACCATTTATTACATCACCGCGCAGTGCTTCACGTCAACAAAATTTTAATGAGTGAGCAACGTGTTCCCGTACCACTTTGGAGTACCCATTGCATTAAACCTTATGGCGCATCAGCAATAAATGGCTTGTTTTAGAAATCCTTAAAGATACGCCTGGGCACAAACCATGATATAAGCTCGGCCTAATCTTATCAGCTAGCCCTACATACGTCCTTTAGCAAAATAATGACATGGTACTATAACATGCACGCTATGTCATGATGTAGCAATTAAAGATGGCGGAAAAGGGTATTCTGGTTTTAGGCATGATGGGTGCTACTACCACGAGGTAGGTGGCGCTCTAATCGACAATCAAATAGCGTTTGGAACTCGAACAAAATTTTGTTCGAAACTTGAACACGCATTATAGAGATGCAGCACGCGTCTTACCATACGTTTGAAGGACGCCCTCTTAAAAACATGGTAGTACTCTTCTTGATCAACGACATAACGTAGTAACTCCAAGAGTTACTCATTTTTAAAGTGTTTTTAGTGTAATATAGTAGTAGGCCTATACAGAATATTG